AGATAATTTATTGATCCTGTCACGTTTGGAGCAAAGGAGAATGAAGAAAACCAAAGATACAAGGAAAATATTAGTCCAGAGGACTAATGGAACACATGAACCACAGCCTCTGCCAGTCTGAGCCCAGAAGAAGTAGATGGTGCCTGGCTGGTATCACCAACTACTCTGACAGGGATCACAATAGAGGGTCCTGGACAGAGCAGAAGAAAAATGTAAAACCAAATTCAAATTCATATACACACGTACACAAAAGACCAGACTTACTGGTCTGACAGAGACTGGAGGAACCCCCAAAACTATGGCCCCAGGACACCCTGCTAACTCAGAACTGAAGCCACTCCCAAAGTCCATGTTTCATCCAAAGAGTAAACCAAAAAACCAAACTCATTGCTGTTGAGTCGATTCCAACTTATAGCGACCCCGTAGGACAAAGTAGAACTGCTGCAAGGATTCAGACTGTCAGCCTTTTGGTTAGCAGCCAAGCTCTAACCACTGTTCCACCATTAGATAGGCCTATACAACAGTGACACATATGAGGAATGTGCGTCTTAATTCAAGCAAGTATATGAGACCAAATGGACAACACCTGCCCAAAAGCAAAGATGAGAGACAAGGCAGGAAGAGATAGGAAAACTGAACGAATGGACTTGGGGAACCGGGGGTGGAGAGACAATGGATGAGAGTACTGACACAACGTGGGGATTGCAACAAGTGTCTCACAATTTGCATATAAATTCTTGAACAAGAAACTGATTTGCTCTGTAAGCATATATATATATATACATATATATATATATATATAAAAATACGAATCACATAACATTTTTTTTTGTTTGTTTAGCTTTCTGTACCACTTAGCTGTAGAAAAGACGGCTGATATCCTTCTACCAATCTATTCTTGAATCTTCCCAGTCCCCTAAGGAAACAATAGAACATCCATCTTCATCATAATAAGTAGATAAATTATATACTTATTTTCCTTGAATAGTACGTGTTGTCTCTTTCTTTTTAAATACTGTAAAGAAATAGTTAAGATACCACCCCCCTCAGTTGCCATTGAGTCCATTCTGATTTCGGGCAGCACCATGTTTTTCAGAGTAGAGCTGTGCTCCATAGGGTTTTCTTTCTTTCTTTTTTTTTTTTTTTTGTATTTACATCATTCATTTTTGTTTGTTTTTTTGTTTGTTGTGTTTTAAGTGAAAGTTTACTTTTCAAGTTAGTCTTTTATATAAAAATTTGTACATACATTGTTATGTGACCCTAATTGCTCTCCCTATACTGTGACAGCACACTCCTCCTTTCCACTTCTGATTCCCCATGTCCATTCAACCAGCTCCTAACCCTCTCTGTGTTCACATCTCACCTCCAGAGTCAGAAGCTGCCCATTTAGTCTCATGTATCTGCTTGAGCTAAGAAGCACGCTCTTTGCAAGTATCATTTTATGTCCCATAGTCCAGTCCAACTGAACAGTTGGCCTCAGAAATTGTTTTAGTTCTGGGCTGATAGAAAATGTGGGGGCCATGCTTTCTGGGGTTCCTCCAGTCTCAATCAGACCAGTAAGTCTGGTCTTTTTACTAGAATTTGAGTTCTGCACCCCACCTTTCTCCTGCTCCATCAGAGACTCTGTGTTGTGTTCCCTATCAGGGCGGTCATTGGTGGTAGCCGGGCACCATCTAGTTCTTCTGGTCTCAGGCTGATGAAGTCTCTGGTTTATGTGGCCCTTTCTGTCTCTTGGGCTAATACTTTCCTTGTGTCTTTGGTGTTCTTCATTCTCTTTTACTCCAGGTGGTTGGGACTAATTGATGCATCTTAGATGGCTGCTTGTAAGCTTTTAAGACCCCAGATGCCACTCAGTAAAGTAGGATGCAGAACATTTTCTTAATAAGCTTTGTTATGCCAGTTGACCTAGATGTCCCCTGAAACCATGGTCCCCAGACCCCCACCCCTTCTATTCTGTCCCTTGACATGTTTGATTGTATTCAGGAAACTTCTTAGCTTTGGTTTAATCCTGTTGTGCTGACTTCCCCTGTAGTGTGTGCTGTCCTCCGTAGGGTTTTCAATGGCTAATTATTTAGAGTGACAGGCCTTTCTTTCAAGGTGCCTTTGGATGGACTCGAACCTCCAACCTTTTGCTTAGCAGCCAAGCATGTTAATAAGCATTTACACCACTCAGGAATTCCAAATGAAGAAACAGGCGTATATAGTATTCTGTTATAAATGTAAATATTCTAAAAGGCTCACCTGTGGGCTTTCAGGGTTGCCACTCAAGAACCATCATGATTTCTACCCTGGGCCAAACTTCTCACACTTAAGTTGCCTCCACATCATCTGGGGATTTTGTTCAAATGCAGATTCTGATTCAAAAGCTCTGGGGTGGGGCCTGAAATTTTGAACTTCTGATTTCTAGATGCTGCTGGTCCTCGAACATTTTGAGTAACAAGGAGTACTGTCTCCTAAAAAGTTACACTCAAACAAGAATTGCGGAGAATTTTATTGATAAAGTGTAGTCAAGATGGAGAAGCAGTGGGAAAGTCATGTGGGGCCCTGCATTCAGGTTAAAGTACTTACGTGCTTGGAATAGGAAAACCCACTTTTCCTCTTCAGTTCAGTAACATGGTTGTTGGTATATGACTGATTTCCATAACCATAATTGAAGTTGACTAGGCTCCTGCTATTAGAAAGGTCTCTAGCAACTAAGAAACCTGGACCCAAGTCTATCATGTTATATAAAACTGCTGGAGGGGTTAATAGAGCCTTCTTTTCCCCCAGAATTCTGGGAGATAATATGCAAAGTTTCTGACACAGTTTTGATGCTTTTGTAAATAATGTGCTATACCAATTGAGATAGGAGAAAATTCTTTGGGATTTTGCTGCTCAGCACCAATTAGTATTGAAAGTGTCTTTACCACTGTTATCTCAGGCACTATTTGATTTTGTTTCCTGGTGTATATGGTGAAAATAGCCATGATTGCCTCCTGGGAGGGGCAAATTCCCAAGTGCTGAGTAACTGCAGAGGAATCTTCGTTGTCTTCTGTTCTGAATTTTCTCCTCCTGGGAGTACCGCTTGCTCTGTTCTTTTTATTGATGTATTTGAAAGTAATAACAATCAGGGCTTTGAACCAATTTAAACTGGTTCATCATGGCTGATGTAGCAAAATTAAAACAGACCCAAATTTTTAAAATTTGGGTGAACCAGAATGGGAAAAATTACGGGTTGAAGCCATGTTATAGGAGACTTGGAAGAGCCTTTTCAGGAATCTAATGCAGGAGATTGGATTACTGGCAAGACTGTGGACAGTGACACACATTTAAAGCAGTGCAATCAGCCACCATCTTTGAGAGGGGCACCGCTGTTTCCAGCTCTGCCAGTCAAAAGATTTGGTTGTTATGCAACGCGAATGCTGCCCTTGTTTTCTAACAGGGAAATTAAGTTTCTAGCAGAGCTTCGACTATAATTTTTGCCATTCTGGTTATCGTTCCAGTTCACTCACATTTTAAAAATTCAAGTCTGTTCCAGTTTCACTTTGTTGGCCGTGACCGAACCGGGAGGAACCAGTTCGAAGCCCTGATAATAGTAATTTAGAAACGTGTCCCTCCTGAAATGTCTTCTTTTTAAAAATCAGATTTATTGATTTTTAAAATATAGAAACAAACTGAAAACTGAATATTGGCAGCCTTACTAATCTTATTCTGCAGAAAATGTTAATTATGAGGCTTTGGAAGAGGGTGTGCACCTCACAAATCAGGAATGGCAGTGCTTTTTAATGACATTAGCTTGAGCAGTTAAAATAGTTGCCTTCTCAGGAGTGCTAAATAGGTGATTTCTTCCAGCCAGCTACTCCCAACTGTTATTTCTAAAGCTTCACTTTCAATTATCTCCCAAGGCCTGTCAACTCTGCCTCTGTAGTGTCTGGAATTGGCTTTAACTCTCCATTCCTACTGCAATTACCCTCTCATAGGCCCTCTTCTTCTCTCACCCAAGCCATTACAAGAACTTGTTAAATGGTTTCTACAGCTCCATATTCATCTCAGCTCTCAGTGGAGTCTGTCTTTCTGAAACCCAGACTCCATCATCCCATTCCCTTCCGTGAAGACTCATGTTGACTTTACAGTCAGTGCCTATAAGATAAATGGAAACTTTTAGCCTAGCTTCAACTTCCTAGTAGCCTCTTTTAAGAGACTGTCACTTTTTACCACCACCCACTCCAAGTTCCCTAGGCTCTACTTGCCCCATATACTTGGACATTTTATTAAACACACCTTGCATTGTCTAATGTCTTTATCTTTGCTTATGCTAAGCCCTCTGCCTGGAGTCTTTTGTTCCCCTTGTCTACCTAGAAATCTCCCATTATTTTCATTTAAGAATAGGATTAAATGAAAGCCTTCTTCAGCCTTCCTTCCCCCAAAGAGGAACCCTCTATTTTCCTCTGCACTCCCAGAGCACCTTGCTCAAGCTTCTAATAGGGTATTACTTGTTATGCACCCTAATTATTTATATGGCTGACTTTACCACTAGACTATAAGTTCTGAAGCTGAGGTCTTATTTCAAGCATTCTTATGCATCCCAGGCCTTTAGCAAAAGAGGTGCCGTATAATAGGTACTTAATGAATATTTCTTGAATGTGGGTGGATAGGGAAGATGGAAGGACAGGTAGATGGACAAATAAAAGAAAGAAATGGGGAGATTTAGTCTTCCTGAATGAAATAAATTATTTGCTTATGATAAAGTAAAAGAAATAACAAGGTGTATATTTACATGTACACACTTATGTATATATATATGCATGCATATTTGTACATCTATACAGGTATATGCATATCTCCACATGATACACACATAGTCACACGTATACACACATGTAGTGTGATTCTAAAGCTGTGAATCTCTCCTACTTATTAGATGACTTTTAGCAACAATTGGAGCTGATAACTTAAATTTTTAAGGGCTGGTATTTTCTCATTTTGCTTGAACCTAATTCTGCACTCTTTCCTTATTCTAGACTGATGGAGGTCTTCGACTTGTGGCTAATTCAATGGTGTGGGTTCCAGAAGGGGGGATGCTGCAGATTACCAACAGAATCTTACAGGCCGAAGCTCCAGGTGTCAGTGCCTCAGAAATCATCTACAAAATTATGCAAGACCACCCCCAGTTTGGTAACTCTTTTTCCACTTGGCGTGATTTCATCATTCAATTTAGCTGCCTTGGACTATTACAGCTTTTGTATGATGCCACACAGCAGGGTGGTGTTTCCAATGAACTTAACTTTCCAATACCTCACGTGCCTTCCTTACAAACAGGATAATCATAATAACTATTGCATTGTACACATATAAAAAACCATTTAATTTAAATTCCAAAACTGTTTACAGAGAAGAAAATTGAGGGAAGGTAGCTTGCTAAAAGTCACCCGGCTAGTATATGTCAGTTTAATTCTGAAGCTCAGGCTTTTAAACTCTACCTTATATCCCTCCCAGAACAACACAAGACTTCTTCTTGATGAGACTATTGTTTTAAAACGTTATATAAAAACATTTTTCAAGATCTTCATTGTTGCTTTCACTTTCAGCAAGATAATGGAGTAAGGTAACCTGAATTTTTTTTTTATCATCACCACCTAAAATCACTGGAGAAACTATACTAAAAATTATAAAGTGTTCATAGCTGACCTCCCAGGAATAGAAGGAAATCTCCAGGTGCTGGAACAAAGCAGGAACAGACTGAAAGCCAGTATGTGCATGAACTGATGGCATAGCTTCCCTGAGAGGGGCTGTGTGTGTCTTATGGGGGTGGGACTTAACGCCTATGAAGAGAGGAGATAGGGAGTTAGAACTAAGATTCTGCATAAAGCCAGGACTCTGGAAGACATACTTTCAATTAGAGGGGCAGCGTAGAGTAGAAAGAGCTGACTGGAATAGATTGATGATAAGGAAACCCACCTATCTTTGCCTGGGTTCAGAGCAGAGGAAAAAGTCTTTGCTAAGAATTCAGAACTTCAGGTCTGTTTCTCTTTCAGACGTAGGGTTGAAATTACACTATGTGAATGATCTGAGAGTCCCAAAGCTGAGACACTAATAAGTAAATTAATCTCAGGGATACTTCTTGGGTTCCTGGCAGAAACTAATAGAAACCTCTCTAAAAGGTCTGACCTCAGCCAGCCCACACAGGATTCTCAGATAAAGCCTCACTGAAGATTAGCTCAGAATTTAAAATTACAGAACACATGAAGAACGATTACCATAACCAAACAAACAGCAAGATTAAAACCCCAAGCATTTCAAGTAAAGGAACAACCTTATAGAAACTGAAATGAGCATATTTAAAATGATTGAAGACATAAAAGAAATTGAAACTATAGGAAAGAACAAAATGCTATAAAAAGTAAAAGAACAAGTAGATTTTTAAAAAGAACTAAATAGGTAACCTAAAAATGAAGATTATAGTCATCAAAAGTAAAAATTCACTTGACAGGTTAAATATCAGAAGTATAATAATTTTTTTTTTCCTCTATCAGATTTTTAAAATTAAATATTTTCTGTAGTGAGGAAAACATAACTTTTGTACAATATAAAAATAATTCCATGTCTGATAACCATGAAGACATTGAAAAGTATAATCTAGTTGAAAATTTGGTATTATTATTATAAAACAGCCAGTCTAGCTGTATGGTATAATTTATGAAAGCTGAATAACGTTCAGTAAGGCAAATGTTCCCCCTTGGGTCATAGATTTCTTTGAGAGGTTAGGCTAGATAATTTTTATAACTTTTAATTTTGAATGTACTGAAAAATTACAAAAACAGTACAAGGGTTTCCTAAATACCCTTTAATCCAACTTTCCCTGATGTTAACATCTTACATAACCATAGAGCAATTATTGAAACCAGGAAATTAATGTTGATACAGTAATACTGTTAATCAATCCACAGACCTAACTTAAATTTTGCCAGTTTTCCCAATAATGCACCTTTTCTGATCCAATCCAAGATCACACATTGCATTTAACTGTCAGGTATCCTTTGTTTTCTCCAATACGTGACAGTTCCTCTGTCTTTGTATCACTGTGACGCTTTTGAAGAGTACTGGTCAGATATTTGTAGAACATCCCCTCAACTTGGATTTGCCTGATGATTTCTCATAATTAGATCAAGGTTATACTCTTTTGGCAAGAACACACAGAAGTGGTATTGTGTCTTTACTCAGTGTATCATACCCAGATGTACATAATGTCACTGTGTCTTAATACTGGTAATATTAACTTTGGTTAAAGTGGTGACTGCCAGATTTCTCCACTGTAAAGTTACTATTTTTTCCATTTGCAATTAAAAAAAAATCCTCTTTTTCATCATACTTTCATCCACTGATTTTAAGCTAGATAATTTTTAAGTTCTTAGCTCTAAAAACTGTGACTCTTTTGATGTATGAAATTCTCTACCTTTATCTTGCTAATTAAAAGCCACAAAATTAAGCACCAGAATTTCCTAGAGACTGCCCAATATTCCATTATGTGTTAAACATAACAATCCTAATTTAAATGATTTTTAAGCACATGTAAGTCTCCCATTTCAGCTTGATAAATGCCATGTAGGCTTGATTGTGACCCGTTCCTGCTATAACTCTCTTAATTAACTTCTTCCTATGAACATAATCCTCTTTCTATGTGTCCAGAGCTCCCTGTTAGTAATAATCAAATCACATTACCCTCAGGAACCATTCAAGAGTGAAAAAGGTGGTGGGAACTAGAAGCCCAGTTGCCACAAATCTACTTACATCCATCTATCCCAATGATGAGAATTTGTGGAGACTACCTCATTGTCACTCCAGCTACTACTATATATTCTCTTGCCTCTTTAGAATGTTCAATTTGGGCTTTAGGCTTTGTGTGAAGAACTGACCTTGGAACAGAATCAAATGTAAATTGCTTGTATAGTATGTACACAAAGGACCCAAATTCAACCACTTACAGACTCACCACTGTTTTAAAATGTAAGTTTAGACAAGTTGATTGATTCTTGTACCCTTAACTACTTCATAGGTTTGATAGTAAATTTAATGAGATGGTTTTAATGGAATCATATCATGGGTATCATTTACGGGAGAATCTGACTCAATCCAACACACTGCCAACTCTTAATTATTTAGCATAGTGTAAAAGATTTAATACAGATTATATCAATCCCAAAATAATTCATGGAGATTCAAATGTGATTCCAATTCTTAATAAAACCAAAACTCATGGCGACCTCGTGTTACAGAGCAGAACTACACAGTTTTCTTGGCTGTAATGTTTATGGAAGCAGATTGCAAGGCCTTTCTTTGACAGCACTGCTGGGTGGGTTCAAACTACCAACCTTTAGGTTAGTAGCTGAGTACAAACCATTTGTACCACCCAAGGACCTCCAATTCTTAGTATCTATTATATTTTTCTTTCAAAATTCTTAAGATATAGACTTAGTTATAAAGGAAATCCCAAATAGAGATGGTTTTCTATTTTTTAAACCTAGATTTTCATATATTTAAAGTGTCATCTTCTTGAATTGGTCATATTATGGTAAAAGCAGAGGTAAGATACTACACAAAAACTTAGCCCTTACCTCTCTAGGGTGAACCCCAGAAAATACTACTATTTCTCCCTGTCTACTCGAGGTGTCACAAAGGCATGTTATATTCAAAATGTCCAATACTGAACTCTTCTTTACCTTCTCACCAAACTGCCCATCCCTCTTTCTTATGTCCATCAGTGATATTTCTTCTCTACCACTCACCCAATCTAATAGGTGATTCTTCTTGATTCTTACCTCTTGCTCATCCTCCACAGCTACATTTGTCAAGTTTGGTTGCTTTCACTTCCTCAGTGACTCTTGTATGTGTTCATTTTTTTCTCAACCTTACTTCCATTGCCTTAGTTCAGGTCCCCATCTCTCATGTGGATTTTGCAGAAGTTTCATAATTGGTCAAACTCTCTACATAAATGTTAGCTACTATTACAATTTTGATAAAATAAAATCCAGCCTCTTTAACAGGACTTTCAAGCCTTATCCATCACCCCCACCAGTTGCAGTAAAGTAATTCCAACTCAGGGCAACCTCATCTGTGCCAGAGTAGAAATGTTCTCCATAGGGTTCGCAACAGCTGATTTTTCAGATGTGGATCGCCAGGCCTTTCCTTCAAGCTGCCTCTGGGTACACATAAACTGACAACTTTTTGGTTAGCAGCCAAACTAGTTAACCATTTGCACCACCCAGGGACTCCTCAAGCCTTATAAAACAACAACAACAACAAAATAGTTGCTGCCAATTCAATGCTGACTCATGGCAACCCTGTGTTTTAGAGTAGAACTGCCCCATAGGGTTTTCTTGGCTGTGATCTTTACAGAGGAGATCACTGGGCCTTTCTTTCAATGGTGCCTGTATGGGTTCGAGCTGCCAACCTAGACTTTAGGTAAGTAGTCTAGCACAGACTGTGTGCACCACCCAGGGACCTCTTCAAGCCTTATAGACTCTATATTCTGATCACATTCGTTCTGTATTCTAAGTTGATTCATGCTATTTACCTACTTAAAATCTCTTAGTGGCTCCCAGTTGCTTATGGGTGGGGAAGAGATAGTTCCATCTCCTTGTATGGCATATAAGACCTTTCACAGTCTGGCTCCAACTTACTTTTCCAGTATTGTTTCCAAATAGCCTGTCCACCCATTTCCCTTTCCCAGCTGATGTATTACTTCTTGTTGGTCCATTAGATTGTAAGAGTCTGCTCTTCAGGAGTACGAACTGTGTCTTGCCAGTCTTTGAATCCCCTACCCCTGAAGAACCTAGCATAGTAATGAGCACCTAGTAGGTACACAATGACTATTTGTTGAGTTGAAATTAATGGAATGATCCAGTATCTTATGATTCTGTTAATCTGCAAAGCATAGCAGTGATTTTTTCTTTTTATCTGAAAAATAGGTTTATCTTATTAGGCCTTATTAGGAAAACTCTGCTTAGTTTTTCTGTTATAAAGCAGAATAACTAGGTAGTAGGCATTTGAATATTTTCTGTCCTTATACTCTCTGGATTTTCATTGTGAATATCTCAGAATATTTTTCGACTGTATGCACATTCATAAACAGTCCATGTCCTGGAAAAACCATGTTTAACAGCATCTTATGAACAGAAGTTAAACCAGGGAGAGATGGGTAGTGGAATTTGTGACTTAGGTTCAAATCAGAGATAATGTAAGAGAAAACTAGGATGAGTTGATTTAACACATGACTGTATAAAGGGAGTACTGATGTTTTCTCTTCAGTGTTTCATTACTATCTAGGATCTTATGCTCATTTTAGACTCAAATTTAGTATATATAAATATTAGAATGAGTATTTACTTTGAGTAAGAAAACAAATTTATCTAGGATAAACAAAATGAGCTATCAATTATCTAATATGTCCCTCTACAGAACATTTAAAAAATACAGTCACACACACACACACACACACACACTCACACTCACACTCACACACACTTCCTTCCTCTCACTGTGTGAGTGAGAGGGAGGCTGCTTTCAGATTTATTTTTAGATACATTTTCATGAGAACATAGCTTCTGTTTTCAGCAGTTCATCCATTCTTCTGCTTGATGTTCACTTGAAGGCATATTCTCCTTGAGAAATTTTAATTGTTTCTTTAACACCTTCTGTATATGCGATCTCACTTTAAGAAGATAGTAGCTTCAGGTGAAGAATAAGCATTAGAAACAGATTGTTGCTGTTTAGATTTAGATTTTCTTGTTTCAATTCTAATGAAGTTTAAAGTATGAAGCAGGAAAAAATATGAGCAGTAAATTAGCAGGGTAAATATTGATTTCTACCCATCACTAGTAATGATGAGTAACAGAGCTTCATGACCAAGAATATGAGCATCAGAGCCGAATCCCAGCTCTTCCACTTACTATTTGTGGCAAGGTATTGAACTTCTCTGAGCCTAAAGAACTTTGTAAAGTGGAGATGATAATAGTATCATTCAAAAGGATTAAAAAACATAACAGTATGGATAACCAACATTTTTACTAAGCCCCTATGAGGTAAGTGCTATTATTCTCATTTATAAATGAGCCTGTAGGGCTTAAGTGAGCTCTGGTGTCACAATGGTAAAAGTACTCAGCTATTAACCGAAAGGTCAGTGATTCAAACCCACTAGCCGCTCCGAGGGAGAAAAATTTGGCAGTCTACTTTTTGTAAAGCTTACAGCCTTGGAAACCCTATGCGTCAATTCTACTCTGTCCTATAGGGTCACTATGAGTTGGAAATGAGTCAATAGCAATGGATTTTTGGATTTAGGGCTTGAGTAAACTCACACAGCTGCAAGTGGTAGAGCTGGGTTTGAACCACCACATAAAGTACTTAGAACAGTGCCTGCCATATGCATTCAAGTGTTAGCTGTTATTTTCGTTGTATAGAATTCTCCCAAGAATAACTTTTTCTGAATATTTTTGTAATATTCCACTGTGTTTACACCAAAAACTTCCTGACTGGACAACATTTTCTGTTACATAGAAAGTTGTAGGAAGAAATGAATCCATTCAGTGCCCAGTATTTGAGTATTTGTTTACAGTGTTCACTACTGTTTGGATCTTCTTATATACTTCTAATAGATACAAGTCAGTAACTTCGTACACTGAGTTACCCTTGAATGACTTTTAGCTCTTTTAGCTGTGAAATTGGGAGTTCTGTGTCTAAAGGTCGATTCAATGATATCTACTGAATTCTGTGTTAAAACTTTCTCCTCACCTTGAAGCAGTGGCTTCACTAGGGTTGGTGTCACCCAGTGCAGTAACTCATAGTGTCACCCCCCACAACAGACCTTCTCCCATACCAGACCATACAGAATCCTTAGTAATATTTTTTGCACCAATGTTACTCACAATTCGTAACTCCCATGTATATCTCCTTTTTTCCCTTTAGTTACTACTTCATTCTCAAAGAAGTTATTGGTATAGGTTTACAAATACTAATTACCACAATATTGCAGCTAAAACACCAGAAAATTTGACAAAATCAGCAACTGTAAAAACACCTGGCAGCAATGAAAACAACAGCATGTACTAGTAGCACGTGCAGATGAAATCACATGATTCGAAGCATCGTTGTAATTGGGTAATAATGACAGCTCTGACTGGAGGGTATTAGAAGATTAAAAAAGTAAATTAGCATAGAGTTTTAGCCTTGTAGGTGTATTGATACATGTAAGCTGGGCTTACAAAAAATGTTTTTGTTGTAACTAACTACAAGGATATTTTTATAAGAAATAATAAATTTCTGCTGAAACACTTCACAAAAAATTTTATAGACAGTCATTTTGGTGTCACCCCCCTCTGACAGTGTCACCCAGTGTGGTCCACACCCCCGGAACCCCCCAATGATGCCACTGACCTTACATTAAAATAAAGAAGTGCCATATTTTTATGCAAATAAGATGCACGTTCTACGTTTCTTTGCCAACCATGCCCTCTCCTCCAGCAAGTATTTTCATAAGTGCACTATGCCAGTTTTTTTACATGTTGTGAAAAAATTAGCATAACGCATAACTATGAAAATAATGGGGAAGATGTGGTTGGCAAACAAATGTAGAAGGCATGCGTTATTTTGTGTAAAAATACGATACATCATCTCTTTTCTGTTAGAGAGAGAGAGAGATAGGGGTAGGAGTGTGGAAAGGAGAATGATGGCTCTGGCTTATTTTTCCCAGGAATCCTTACTAACTGTGTGGCCCCTTCTCTCCTAGGGGAGGTGGTCCTTTTGGTTAATATGCCTGCAGACAGTCCAGCAGACGAAGGGCAGCACCTGCCTGATGGGAGGACAGCAACTCCCACCAGTAGCTTCACCCAGCAAGACATCAATGAAGGCATCGTATGGTACAGGCACTCGGGGGCCCCTGCCCAAAGTGACTCCTTCCACTTTCAGGTACCTTCCATTTCCTGACCTTTCTGATGCCTGGACAGTCTGATGGAAACCATCACCCTTGTTTATAAATGACTTGGGTAGTTTTCTGCAATAGCCTGGACCTCATGTTTGGGGAAAGGAAAATATAATTAATAGCACTGAGAGGTTTTTTTAATCTGTCAATTTAGATTTACAGGTATCTCCACAAATAGTTATTGCACAGCAAAGAGATTTATGTTAGATTATGGCTAAAGTGTTCAGAAAAATTTACCTCAAAATATAAAAACACTATATGGAGAAAACATCTTTTTTTTTCAAATGTTCTTGGAACATTTATATTATGATAAGATCATGGACTTTGCAGCCAAACTCAGTGGGCTCAGATCTCAGTTCTGCCACTTACTAGCTACACAGCTTTGCGCACGTTGTTTAAGCTCCTTGTGCTCCACTTTCCTCATCTGTAAAATAGAATTATTCTGAGGATATAATGAGCTAATACATATATTTAGAAGAGTGCTTAGGATATAGTAAGTACTATGTAAGTGTTTATTATTATTATTTACAAAAATTGGTTGAATACCAGATAATAAAGAGACCTTCAATAAATTAAAGGACAAAAATTGTACAGAGTACATTCTCTGGCCATTACAAAACATTAATATATTTATTTATATAATTGTACTTTAGATGAAGGTTTACAGAACAAATAGTTTCTCATTAAACAGTTAGTACACGTATAGTTTTATGACAATGGTTAACAACACCACAACATATCAGCACTGACCCTTCTCGACCTTGGGTTCCCTATTACCAGCTTTCCTGTCCCTTCCTGCCTTCTAGTCCTTGTCCCTGGCCTGTTGTGCCTCATTAGTCTCATTTTGTTTTATGGGCCTGTCTAATCTTTGGCTGAAGGGTGAACCTTGGGAGTGACTTCATTACTGAGCTAAAAGGGTGTCTGGGGGCCATACTCTTGGGGTTTCTCCAGTCTCTGTCAAGCCAGTAAGTCTGTTTTTTTTTTTTTGTGAGTTAGAATTTTGTTCTACATTTTTCTCCAGCTCTGTCTGGGGCCCTGTGTTGTGATCCCTGTCAGAGCAGTCAGTGGTGGTAGCTGGGCACCATCTAGTTGTACTAGATGAAACATTTATTATTGATGTTGTTGTTAACTGCTGTCAAGTCAGCCAGCCCCCAACTCATGGCGACCCCCCGCACAATAGAACAAAAGACCTCCCAGTTCTGTGCCATCGCTATGATCAGTTGTGGATTGGACCGTTATGATCTGTAGGGATTTCACTGGCTGATTTTCATAAGTAGATCACCAGGCCTTTTTTCGTAGTCTGTCTTAGTCTGGAAGCTCTGATGAAACCTGTTCAGTATCACAGCAACAACATGCAAGCCTCCCCTGACAGGTGAGTTGTGGCTACACATAACGTACATTGTTGGGAATCAAACCTGGGTCTCCTACATGGAAGGTGAGAATTCCACCACTGAACCACCAGTGTCCCTTATGAAACAGAATTAGAAATTAATAATAAAAAAGTAAAAAAAAAAAAAAAAAAAAATCGAAACCACTTGGAGTATAAATTTAAAATAAAAAAAAGAAGTCTCCTAAATAATTACTTCACTAGAAAAGGGCATCATGCTTGGTAAAACAGAGGGTCAGGAAAATGAGGGAAATCCCCCATGAGCTGGCTTGATACAATAGCTGCAACAATGGACTAAATATACCAGTAATTGTGAGGATGGCACAGAACTGGGCAGCGTTTTGTTCTGTTATACATAAGGTCACCACGAGTCAGAGCCGACTCAACAACAACTAACAACCACCACAAATAATTACTAGATCTAAAAGGAAATCAAAATGGCAAAACTATTATAAAATATTGATGAGGAGGAAATAACTTATCAAAACTATAATTATGTGGCCAAAATTGTCTCAAAAGAAAATTGATGTCCTTAAGCTGTTATTATTGAACAGAAAACCATGAAAATAAATGGACTAAACACTTAGCTGAAGAAGCTAGAGTACCACAGAATAAACCTGAGGAAAACCAAAGGAAGGAGTTAATAGAGATAAACAGAGGAATTGTAAAATGCTAAAATTGATAAATGAGTATAAAACTTGGTTCTCGGGAAAAAAAACCAATAACATTAGACAAACCTCTGGCAGTCACAATTTAGAAATAAAGAATTAAACAGAAACACAAAGGAATGAGAAATTATGAACAAGAAAGGACATTTAGTCACAGATACAGCGAAGAATTTGGTGAAGTGTCAGAGTATAAAGAAGCGTTCATAGTGTTCAGCCAAGGCAGTGTCACAGCCCTTTAAGTCTCAGAATTTTCCTTTGCCTAGGGATCCAGTTGGAGATAAACTACCACTATAACTCATCTTGTTAAAATTATCATCACTTCTGCTTCTGATGGCTGGCGGCACATCTTTGTTGCCTGACTAATTTACATTGTGTAAAAGAGGTGTGCTTTTCCAGAAAGCAGGTTGAAATAAATTTGGAAGCCATTAAAATGAAATTACACGGCGCAGATTGAATGTCCAATGACTGAGCAAACATTGTGCGTCCTCTGCCCAAGCTAACTTTTCATTCTGAGCACCTGAGGATTACAGCAGTCTGGAAGAAATAAGTCAGAATGAAGGCAAAGACCCCAATCAAAAGAAGTCACCTCAGAAAACTAGACTTCTGTGATGTGCCTTTGCCTTCATAGGGGTCAATAAGAAGTACATTATCAATATGGAGGCATTTCCCTGGAAGAGAATTCTAAGCACCTGCTGTAAATGATTTGATTGCTTTTGCAAATTGGTTACTTAAGTGGGTAACTATAAAATTGCAAAAGTTACTGATTTTCTTTTAACAAACTCGCTAGAGTTTAAGACATCCAGTTGACCATTATTACAGTCATGCATCACTTAACATCCACAATATGTTCTGTGAAATAGGCCATCATGTGATTTAGACATTGTGCAAACATGAGATTGGATGCTGCTGTCTATGAGTTGAAACATACACTGTTATACAGTAAACTTTGTAAGTAGGGAGAGTTCACATTAAAATAATGATAGAAAGTACAGTACAGTACATACATAAACCATTAACACAGGCATTTTATTATGACTTTCAAGACATATGTATTGTAGGTTATGTACATACTGTATATTATATCCCTAACAGCACATTTGTTTTGTATACAAGAGACATGAGATACACGTGTTGTGTGCAGAAAGTTGTTGCATTCGCTACTTACAGTTACATCAAGTATGTCTCATTCTCCAGTTGGGATTTCTGAACTCTATTATAACCTTGGAGCCCTGGTGATGCAGTGGTTAAGAGCTCAGCTGCTAATCAAAAGGTTGGCGGTTCAAATCCACCAGCTGCTCCTTGGAAACCCTATGGGGCAGTTCTACTCTGTCTTACAGGGTCACTATGAGTCGAAATCGACTGGACAGAAACTGGTTTTGGTATTATAACTTTATGGGACCACGGACATATATGTGGTTGGGCGTTGCACAAACGGACATTATGTGGTGCACGACTATACTTAGAAAGTGGTTTCCTTTGGAGAGTCTTCACATATTTGGCTCAAAATGTGTTTACAACTCCCCCGTGAAATCACCTTCAAAGCCTATGGGATATTCTTTAGAATATCCTCAATAGTGACAGTTTATCATCCTTTGGAAGTGGATTTAAGTTTTGAAAATGGCTAAAAGTCATTTAGAATCATGTCTTGTAAAAAGAATGGGGGTAATTTTTTTTTGTTAAAAACGAATAATTACACAGCAATGAACCCACTTTTCTTATATGATTTGTGAACTAACTTGGAAAGCATTCCAAAAACTGTATTGAACAATGACAGCATCTTTATTGCAAGTATGAGACAACTCTCTGGGATTTTATTCCCTGAGACGTAAAAGTTTTGTTCTGTTTGTTTTTAAAGTTTCATTGTTTTATAGGCTTACCTCATATTTTGATTTGAAATAACAGACACTATAGCTTTTGTTTAAATAAATGGTTATTAACTTTTACCATTCATCATTTTAGCATTCCTAAAGAGTTTTACTACCGCTTGTCTGTCACTTTGTTGTACTGTGATGGCTTGTGTGTTGCTGTGATGCTGGAATCTATGCCACCAGGATTTCAAATACCAGCAGGGTCACCCATAGTGGACAGGTTTTAGTGGAGCTTCCAGAGCAAGACAGACTAGGCAATCTTAAAAGTTGGCAAGTGAAAACCTTACGATGCAGTGCCAGAAAATAAGCCCCTTAGGTTGGAAGGCACTCAGAATATGACAGGGGGAGAGTTGCTTCCTCAAAGTAGACGTGGATGGAGTAAAGTGTTTGGGACCTTCATTTGCTGATGTGGCCTGACTCAAAATGAGAACAAACAGCTGCAAACATCAATTAATAATTGGAATGTGGAACGTATGAAATATGAATCTAGAAAAATAGGACACTGTCAAAAATGAAATGGAATGCATAAAGATCGATATCCTAGGCCTTAGTCAGCTGAAATGGACTGTTATTGGCCACTTTGAATCAGGCAATCATATGGTCTACTATGCTGGGAATGATAACTTGAAGAGGAATAGCATCACATTCATCGTCAAAAAGAACATTTCAAGATCTGTCCTGAAGTACAACACTGTCAGTGACAGGATAATATCCATATGCCTACAAGGAAGACCAGTTAATACAACTATTATTCAAATTTACACACCAACCACTAAAGCCAAAGATGAATAAATTGAAGGTTTTTACCAACTTCTGCAGTCTGAAATTGATCGAACATGCGATCAAGATGCATTGATAATTAGTGGTGATTGGAATGCAAAAGTTGGAAATAAGAAGAGTCAGTAGTTGGAAAATATGACGTTGGTGATAGAACCAATGCCAGAGATCATGGTAGAATTTTGCAAGACCAATGACTTCTTCATTGTAAATACCTTTTTTAAGCAACGTAAATGGTGACTATACACATGGACCTTGCCAGATGGGATATGCAGGCATCAAATTGACTACATCTGTGGAAAGAGACAATAGGGAAGCTCAGTATCATCAGTCAGAACAAGGCCAGACCTTCGACTGCTCATTTGCAAGTTCAAGTTGAACTTGAAGAAAGTTAAAACAAGTCCCCAAGAGCCAAATTACAACCTTGAGTATATCCCACTTGAATTTAGAGACCATCTCAAAAGTAGATTTGATGCACTGAACACTAATGACTGAAGACCATATGAGTTGTGGGATGGTATCAAGGACATCATACATGAATAAAGCAAAAAGTTGTTAAAAAGACAGGAAAGAAAGAAAAGACCAAAATGAATGTCAGAAGAGACTCTGAACCTTGCTCTTGAATATAGAGTAGCTAAAGCAAATGGAAGAAATGATGAAGTAAAAGAGCTGAGCAGAAGATTTCAAAGGGTGGTTTGAGAAGACAAAGAAAAGTATTATAATGAAATGTGCAAAGACCTGGAGTTAGAAAACCAAAAGGGAAGAATATACTCAGCATTTCTCAAGTTGAAAGAACTGAAGAAAAAATTCATGCCTCGAGTTGCAATAGTAAAGGATTCTATGGACAAAATATTGAACGATGCAGGAAGCACCAAAGGAAGATGAAAGGATTACACAGAGTCACTCTACCAAAAAGAATTGGTCAACGTTCAACTATTTCAGGAAGTAGTGTATGATCAAGAACTGATGGTACTGAAGGAAGAAGTCCAAGCAGCACTGAAGGCATTGGTGATAAACAAGGCTCCAGGAATTGATGAAATACCGGTTGAGATGTTTCAACAAAAGAATGCAGTGTTGGGAGTGCTCACTCATTTATGCCAAGAAATTTGAAGACCGCTACCTGGCCAACCAACTGGGAGAAATCCGTATTTGTGCCCATTCCAAAGAAAGGTAATCCAACAGAATGTGGAAATTATTGAACAATATCATTAATATCACATGCAAGTAAAATTTTGCTAAAGATAATTCAAAAACAGTTGCAGCAGTACATTGATAGGGAATTGCCAGAAATTCAAGCTGGATTCAGAAAAGGACATGGAATGAGGGATATCATTGCTGATGTCAGATAGATATTGGCTGAAAGAAGAGAATACCAGAAAGATGATTACCTGTGTTTAGTGACTATGCAAAGACATTTGACTGTGTGGTTCATAACAAATTATGGATAACGTTGCGAAGAATGGGAATTCCAGAAAACTTAATTGTGCTCATGAGGAACCTGCACATAGACCAAGGGGCAGTCATTCAAACAGAATAAGGAGATGCTGAGTGCTTTAAAATCTGGAAAGGTGTGCATCAAGAGTTTAGTCTTTCGTCATATTTATTCAGTGTGTATACTAATAATCCGAGAAGCTGGACTATATGGAGAAGAATGAAGCATAAGGATTGGAGGAAAACTTATTAACAACCTGTGATATGCAAATGACACAACCTTGCTTGGGGAAAGCGAAGAGGACTTAAAGCACTTACTGATGAAGATCAAAGACCATGGCCTTCAGTATGGATTACACCTTGACATAAAACAAAAATCCTCACAACTGGACCAGTAAGCAACATCATGATAAACGGAGAAGATACTAAAGTCAAGGATTTCATTTTAGTTGGATCCACAATCAACACCCATGGAAGCAACAGTCAAGAAATCAAATGCAAACTGCATAAGATAAGCTTGATAACTGGGATCTTCTAAAAATTAAACACTTACGCTCATCAAAAGACTTTACCAAAAGAGTGAAAAAGAGAACCTACAGACTGGGAAAAAAATTTTGGCTATTACAAATCCAACAAAGGTCTAATCTCTAAAATCTACAGGAAAATCCAATACCTCTACAACAAAAAGACAAATAATTCAATTAAAAAATAGGCAAAGGAAATGAACAGACACTTCACTGAAGAAGACATTTAAGCAGCTAACAGATACATGAGGAAATGCTCGTGATCACTGGCCATTAGAGAAATGCAAATCAAAAACACAATGAGATACTATCTCACCCCGGCATTACTGGCACAAATAAAAAAAAACAGAAAATAACAAACGTTGAGGAGGCTGCGGGGAGATTGGAAGTCTTATGTACTGCTGGTAAACCAAAACCAAGCCTGTTGCAGTCTAGTTGGCTCTGAGCACTGCTGGTGGGAATGCAAAATGATACAACCATTTTGGAAGATGTAGATTTCTGTGTTGTAAAGATTTAAGAGGTGGAATAAAAATGAGATATGGCATATACCTACTCCACCACCTGTCTGTCAGTTTGTCATACTGTGGTGGCTTTGCCTGGTGCTATGATGCTGAAAGCTATGCCACCAGTATTTTAAATACCAGCAGGGCCACCCATGGTGGACAGGTTTCAGTAGAGCTTCCAGACTAAGCAGACTAAGAAGAAAGGCCTGGTGATCAGCTTTCAAAAATTAGCCAGTGAAAACCCTATAGATGACAACAGAATATTTTCTGATACAGTACTGGAAGATGAGCCCCCTAGATCTGAAGGCACTACACAATTGCTGCAACAATCAGCTCAAACATGTCAGTGATCATGAAGATGGCCCACGATGGGTCGATGGCTTCATTGTGTTGTGCATAGGGCCACCAAGCTTTGGAGCCAACTTGAGAGCAACTAACAATAACAGTATGCTCATAATGGGACATTATGTAGCCATCCAATAATGATGTAATCAAGGAGATTTAATGATATATGAAAATATCATGTTAAGTAAAGAAACAGAATATACCTTGTATGTAAAAGTTTGATATATATGCGTAGAAAAAAGATTAAGTTGAATTGCATCAGATGTTAACAATGATTATTTCTAGATAGTGAAATTCTAGATGATTTTTTATTTCTTATTTATACTTTCTCGTATTTTCAGAGTTACCTAAAATGATTATCATTTTTATAATCGATAAAAGATTAATTTAAAATATGAAGAACAGGATGAAAATTGTAATGCAGGAGCATGTAAAATTCAAAGACAGATGGTTTAAAGGAAGAAAAATACATTAATGAACGTGTGCAAACATTCCTGCCCAAAGAACATGAGAGCCTCATCAGAGTGATTTTTCATTTCAGGTGTCCAGTGCCACAGATGCCCAGACCCATCTGGAGAGCCACATGTTCAACATCGCTATCTTACCACAGACACCTGAGGCATCTAAATTCTCTCTGGGAGCATCTCTCCACATGACCGTAAGTTTGGTGGAAGAGCTCGTGGTTCCTGCTTGAAGAAGGCACACTGACAAGATTTGGTAGAACTTCCTGATTCAATATCCAGTGAATGCCTGGTCCAGAACACAAAACCTGGAGGCTAATACCAGCCTATAAACACATTTCTCACTGACTTGAAAAAGGAATTTAAAACTTACAGAATGGAAGGAAAATTAGGTGGAATCCATCTCAACCTCCCACCCTGTTGTTCATGTTCTTTCTGCAACATCCCAGTCAAAGGACCTTTCCTGAGTACTTGGAGGAAATTTCAGGCTTATGTCCATTTAATCAGCACCATTTGGGTTTAATTATTCAGCTAGAGTTATACATCCACCTATCTGGAAAGACTGTTAACTCTATTTTCCAGAAGTCCTGTAGAAGTTTCTATTATAAAAGCTTCTGGTGAAGGTGCTGTCTATGCTAAATCCAGAAAGATAAGTACAAATTATCCAGGTAAAGGTTTTGGGGGCAGGTTGGGAGGAATAGAGAGGTGATGGTGAAGGGCACTGCCAGAGGTAAAAACAGCAATGAAAAGCTGCAGAGACGAGAGGGAATATGACTATTGAGAAATTGTAACTAGTTCAATAAGCCTGGAGAAATTAGGAAGCCAGAGGAGCCATGGTGAGGATGTGAAGGTCAGCGGGCTAGACACAGAAAGCCTTGTATACTGTATGGGAAGGACAATGGTCCATGGAAAGGTTTGAAGCAAGGTGACAGCTAAATTAGTACATGAAGCTTAGTTCAGACAATCAGCAACTCCACTGTAACCCTGTGTCTCTGGGGTATGTAATGCCAGAACCCTCTTCCAGACAGAGCCACAAACATATAAATCATTTTGAATCCACATTTTAGTTAGCGCCCACATAATTATACTCCAGAGTAGCATGTCAGCCTTGAGCCACAACAAAGAGAGCGGCTATGGTTTCAGAAATTATGGGTCTAGGGCATGACAGAGACACAAAGGGGGAAATAGAAAGTTTTTAATGAATAGCTAGTATCGGCATTTCCACCATAAACCATAATTTAAAGAAATCATAATTCAGCGGCACTATAAAGTCTATAATTCATCATTCTGACTGGAGGAACTCAGATCAGAATTTTCTCTAAACTGTAAAGAAAAATGTGCATACACATCTCTTGCCAAATGCTAATGCGGTGTTTATTTTGTATTTAGTGGTATAAAAAAGGGCCAGGAGCCGCGAAGACGATACCCTTCCTGCTGTTACTGTGGACCTCTGCAGGGACTTTTCAAGTTGCTTAATCTTTAGGGTCTGGGGTTACAATTTGGAGATTAGGTCTGTCCAGTGTAATTTAGACTAGATTAGCCTACTCTTTTGGTCCTCAAAATATACACAATTTGTATTTATTTATTTTGATGTTAATTACGGGCAGTACTCTGGAATATACTTGTAATCTCTGGCAAAAGCACATTCTCAATTCAGTGATTTGAACTCATCTAAGCACACAAGTTTTACACCTAAGTGGTAAATACATTCGTATGCATTTACTATATTCATATATGTGTTTATGGGAAAGTGTCTACCTCTCCATTCACTCAGTCATTCATTCATAAACATTATTGAGCTCCTAATTTATGCCAGGAGTCCCCGGGTGGTGCAGTTGACACACTCAGCTGCTAACCGAAAGGTTAGAAGTTCAAGTCCACCCAGAGGCACCTAGGAAAAGGCCTGGAGATCTACTTCTGAAAAACCAGTCACTGAAAACCCTATGGAACACAGTTCTACTCTGATACTCATGGGGTCACCATGAGATGAAATCGACCCTACAGAAACTGGTGGTGGTGGAATTTATGTCAAGTGCTGTGGTAGACATTGGTGATTCAAGGACAATAAAACACAGTTTCTACTCTCAACTTAGGGAGACAAGCAAATATATAAGCAATGATGATGTAATGATAAATGCTATGACAGAGTCATGATATGGTAGCAAACAGGAAGGCACCTAATCCAGTGGGGGGAGGGATGTTATGGTCCATGGAAGGCTTCTTCTAGGAGGTGGCCTGGGCTGAGTCCTAAAGGTTGAGTGTAAATTCTCTCTGGACCAGGGGCTCTCAAACTTCAGCATACATTAGAATCACCTACAGAGCTTACTATTAAAGCACAGATTGCTGGGTCCTACCTCAGAGGTTTCTGCTTCAGTAGGTCTGAGGTAGAGTGAGAATGTGCATGTCTAATAAGTTCCCCGGTGCTGCTGCTGCTGCTATTCTGAGGACCACACTTGAAGAACCATTGATCTAGACTAGAAATGGGGGAAAGTTCATCCCTGGCAAAAGGAGCAGCAGGTGAAAAAAGATGGAGACACAGGAGAACATAGCCTGTTTGGGGAACTTCAGGTAATTCCGTGGGCTGGAGCATAAATCCCAAGGTAAAGAAGAAACAAGAAATGAAAGATCATGGAAGACCTTAAAGATCAGATGAAAGTGTTTTCATTTTATCCTAAAAGGCTGTTGGGGGAAAGTGTGCAGTATGTTGAAGGATTTGTAGCAGAGGAGTGGCATGATGAAATTTGCAATTTAGGAAGAACCTTCTGGCTGCAGGATACTCAGGGTTGGGTTGTCCAAGGTTACCACTTGAAGGAAAGGCCTCAACATGAAAGCCTTTCTTTCTTTGTTTCATTTGTTTCCAGAGTGGTTACTGTAGCAGGAGTTCTCTTTAAACCACTCTTACTGAAGCTAACAGGGATCCACTTAGAAGGGGTAGTTTGTTTTTTTTCTCATGGTGTAGACTCAAGTCTGGGCATGCTATGCTTGTTTTATGGATGCGGGCTTCTGTGTCCATGCTTTTTTCTGAGACCTTTCAGACACTAATAGAATTATTATCTATAATCTCTGTAAATGTTTCTTTATCCTTGGAATTCTTGTTGCACTTTATCTGAGCCTTTCGTGCTACTTGGCATTTTCTTCCTTAGAGTTATTTATGACTTTCCCTCACTAAAACTAGAACTCCTTGAGAGAAGGGTCTATATCTGATTCATCTTGCATCTCTTATAGCTCTTTGCTTGGTACTTTGCACGTAGTAGGTTCTTACTGAATATTTGTTACATGAATATATAACTGAGTTAATTTTGTTGTCTTAACTGAAATATGAGAGAAGGTGATTTCTTACAGGACTTTCATTTTCCTTATCTCATCTTCTGCTCTTTATCCATGGGCATCTAATTTCTCAGGCCTGCCATGGATTTGGCTGCTTTGTCAGAATGACAATCAACGTATGAAATTTGCCTTTTCTTTTGAAGGAAGTGTGATGATACTGTTGATAAATCTTGACCTGGAAGTTTAAAGGTTTAAGCCATGCCCACTTTGCTAAGACTTAAGTGTTATAATGTCTGCCCCTCCAATCTATGGATGACATTGAAATGCAATGGAAAATATTTTAGAAATTTGTTGATGAACATGTTATTAAAAGTTTTATAATTGTTTCATTTCTCAGCTTAATCTTTTCATGGTGTTGTTTTTCGTTTACACCACAAATTCTTATTGAGCATTTACCACGTGTTTGACACTTTTAGGTGCTTGGGATCCATCTGTGAACAAAACAAAGATCCTATTTTCATGGAGTTTGTATTCTTTTGAGGATGGGAGGAATAGACAATAAGTAATAAACCACAATAAACAAGAAACTTAAATATGGTATGTTAGTGAGAGGTATGATGTAAAAGAAAAACTAGATCAGGGCAAAAGGGATCAAGAATGTAGTGATGGGGAACAGGGCTAGGGTCAGGGATGGCCTGGGTTGCAATTTTAAATAAAGTGGTTGGGGTGGGTTTTATTGAGATGATATTTAAAGAAAGACTTGTAGGAGGTGAGTGAGATAGCCATGCAGGTATCTGAGGAAAGAGCATTCCAGATCCAGAGAACAGTCTGTACAGAAGCATCAAATTGGGAGCATGCTTGGATGTTCAAGGAACAAGGAACCATTGCGACTAGAACAGAGCGGGTAATAGACACGAATTCAGAGATGTAATAAGGGGGGAAGGCAGGGAGGGACAAATCATGTAGAGCCTCATAGCCCGTTGTAGAGACTTAGTTTTTGTTCTGAGTAGGATGGGGAGCCATTGCAATATGTTGAACAGAGGTCTAACTTCCTTTTTTAAGGGATAGATCTGGCTGCTGAGTTAAAATAGACTGTAGAGGGGGACAAGAAGGCAGTTGGGGGGCCATTGTGGTAATCCAGATGAGAGATTGTGGCTCCAAGCAGGGTGGTGGCAGTGAAGATGGGGAAAAGCAGTTGGATTCTGGATATATTCAGAGGTAATATGGGTATTATGAAAACCATTATTCTGTAATCTTCTTGTGTTGACAGATATTTTAATAAAAAAGTGTCTTCTGCAATAATTTCCATGAAATTTAATCTCTCATTTCTTACTATATTTAATTGATAAATATTGAACATCCCAAATAGCCAATATTAAAATTGATTGTACTTGGATATATCTCAACTTCAATATTGCTTTCTTCAGAGAACCAAGTTCTTACTTTTTCTTCCTAGTGCCAATTTCTATTAGTAGAGAAATAGTATTAATAAATTCCATAATAGAATATCTGTTATCTTGGCTGGAACATATTTTTCTTTTCCATAGTCCTCTGTCCATGGGAATTCTCTTTCCTTATTATTGCTTTATCGTTTTAGGGAAATCTACATTTTTAAAAACATCCAAGTAATCCTCTGAAGATTTTCTGTTATTCTGATGGTTTTGAAATTAAAAAGTGGCAAACAGTACTAAGCAATGTGCTGAGGCTGTACTTTTTTGACTGTGTGTGTGCCCACATGTGTACCTGTGTGTAGGCATTTATACACATGTGTGGGTTGTAAACAACTTATATAACCAAAACCAAACCTGTTGCCTTCGAGTCAATTCCGACTCATAGTGATCCTATACGACAGAATAGAACTGCCCCCATAGAGTTTCCAAGGAACGGCTGGTGGATTCGAACTGCTGACCTTTTGGTTAGCAGCCGAGTGCTTAACGACTGTGCCACCAGGGCTCCGTAAACACCTTATATAGGGTATATATTTTTAATTTGTTACCCTTACTTGCTTTATTTTAGGACGGGAGACCAGCTGCTGTTTGCAATTCTGATTTTCCTTGCTCATTACATTCCAGACCTGTGCAACAGCCTGAAACGTGACTCTTTACTGTAGGGGGGTTGTCCTGACCTGTGCATGCTGCCTCTCCCTGGACAAGTATGCCTTAGGGACAATTACAAAGCAACTGCAACCTTCAATCTTTTTTCATGGTTAAAAGGAAGAACACCACACCCTCCTCCATGAGCATTATTGAACCCTGCTTAATCTTTTCCTAAATAGGGAAATTCTTTCTAAAAGTAATAGGGCTTCAAAGAGCAAGAGAGCGTGTCAAACTCTAGCCCACCTTCAGGGGTCAGCTAGGAAAAGCCTGCAGTGAGTTGACGTTGTTTTGTTTCATAATAGCATGTGTGACCCAGGCAAGGGGTTCATGCTCAGACTAGTTTTCCTTTTCTGCTCTTCACTCTGCTTTTGCTGCTGTCCGCAATTTACTGCCCTGCCAGGTCATGGAAGTCTGAAGCTCTCCCTTTTGTTTTTTGATGGGTGATGCATGTACACAAAGTCCCTGGGTAGTACAAATGGTTAATGTGTTCGGCTGTTAACCAAAAGGCTGGGGGTTTGAGTCCACTCAGAGGCACCTCAGAAGAAAGGCCTGGTAATCTACTTCTGAAAAAAATCAGCCATTGAAAACCCTATGGAGCACAGTTCTACTGACACACATGGAGTCACCATGAGTTGGAATCAGCTCAACAGCAACTGTTTGTTTGTTTGTTGCATGTGCACTGGTGAATGGATAGAAAAAACTCATACTGTTTGACCTCTGCTTGATGTTGCTTGACTCATTATAGGGCCTTGAAAGCTACTGGTGAAAAGCAGTATGTAATTCCTTTGAATACTAGACTGGAGACAGAAAATATTGGCTGTTTTTATGCACTTTAATAAACAGCTCTTAAATCTCTGACGGCAAATGGTGAGCCTTTTTTAGTGTTTGAGATGAGTTTGTTGTTAGCATTTTGAACCAGAGATCCTCATGGTTCCCATTAGCAAAGCTAGGGGTTGGAGCATGCTCTGCAGAATCTCGGGGGCCAAGGCTTAAACCTCTCAGTTGGGTCCTCAGAACTTCTTGCCAGGTGCAACCTTAGCCCATTAAGTTAGAGGGGAGGGGATGTACTGAGCCAGCCGTGAAGCTTCGTTTTCAAACATGTTCCACTGTGAGTTCCACCTAGGGAATCAGTGATCAGATTGGGACCCCCACAGTGTGCACCACCATAAGCCTGGGCCAGGGGGCCAGGGAGAAAATAGTTAGGGTCTAAGAAGACCTGAAGGGGACTATATAACCATGTGAGATTCCCAAACTCAGACAACTCTGTCGTTCCAGAGACCAGATCCTTCTTTTGAACTCTTAGAGAAAATTTTCTTATGTGTAACTTATTTAAAAGCCCAAAGTGCACTTTTATTTTTCCTTTTTTACTATGGTTTGATTTTGCCTCTGGCTTTTGTTTTCATTACACCTATTTTTTTCTTCTTCTTCCTTTTTTAAATTTTTGTTTAGGCTCGAGAAGACCGCCTGACTGTGATTCAGCCTCATTCCCTCTCCTTTGTACAGTCTGAGAAGCCAAGTGGAAAGATTATATACAATATCACTCTACCTCTGCATCCAAATCAAGGTAAGATGTGCAATAAATGGTCTTTCGAATGATGCTGTTGTCTTCCAGTTGTCAACCAGCCTTAAAAGTTCTAGAATTTTCTCTGCTTAATATACATAGAAATACTTGTTGAAATTTTAAGACATAACAATTATTCGTACCCTTTGCTCCCCTCCACTGTGGCCAGATAGATGGAGATGAAGGGGTCAGCTTTGGTACTAACAGCTGCACCAGAGAACATAGTGTGGATATGCATCCCCTGGGAGCTTTTTACTTCAGCCGTTAAATTGAGCTCCCCCTCTCACACACAGTCCAAAGTGGATAAACACAGGCATTGTCTATAGAGACAGAGCCTGCCCTGGTGAGGTTATACCAGGTGAGCAAGCCAGAATGAACATGTGCTCAGGACAAGGAGCTCTGCTTGTCACCAAGGGACTGAACCACATACACTCAGTTGCTTTTCGCAATTGGATAAGCCACTCCTCTTCCCATAGGGGACCCTAGGGGTACATGGAAATGCACAGCTACAGCCAGAGGAGAGGTGGTCTCTCACCACCATTCCCCAGCCTTAAAGCTCTTAACTTTGGGTTTAACCAATCATGGCTGATGAAGTGAAACTGGAATAGACCTGACGTTTTCAAATTTGGGTGAACCTGAGCAGGAAAAATTAGAGGTCAAAGCCCTAGAATGGGAGACTTGGAAGAAGTGTGGTGAACCCTCTCAGGAGCCTGATGTGTGAGATTGGATTATTGGCAGGACTGTGGAGATCAACACACATTCAAAGCAGGGCAGCTGGCAGCCATCTTTGAATGGGGCATGGCTGTCTCTGCCTCTGCTGAAAATCCAACAGGCAAGAGATTTGGTTGCATTACAATGCATATGCTGCCCTTGCTTTCTAAGAAGGAGATTAAGTTTCTAGCAGGGCTTTGACCCATAATTTTTCCCATTCCTGTTACTGTTCTGGTTCATCCAAATTTTAAAACTTCAGGTCTGTTCTGGTTTTGCTTCCTCGGCCATGGGCCGGGAAGAACAGGTTGGAAGTCCTGGGTTTAACTAACAAGCCTGTGCCCAACAAGGCATGGTTGTCCCTCACAAAAAAGGAGATTGCCTTCTGTTAAACCAGTTCTGCTCCCACCTCTGAGGCTATGCCCCTGATGTAAGCCTCTCACATTATGAAATTCCCAAGGACAAGTTAAACTCTTAAGAATTAAATTCCATTACCCTTTTGATAAAGCCAAAAGAAATTAAAGTGTAAAATTCATCCTTTCCTATTTTTTTTTAATCTTCTAAGTTGTAGCTAGAGGCTTTCTCTTCATTGCTGAGGTAGAGAAGGAGTTCTTTCCAACCTGCTACCTGGGTCTTTTGTGTAGTGTGCCTATTAATCTCTCAATCTCTCAATAGTGGAATTAGTTCAACACCAAGCTTCACACATGCCCTTGCGCTTGTTTTAAAGAGTTAATGGAACATGAAAGATGGTCACAGCATCAGTTCTCTACCCACAGAATTTGTAAACCACAAGCAAATCCAGAGCCCCTAAAGCTGTTATCACAAGCAGAGTGATAATTGCAGAATTCGTTCATAGTATAATCAAGAACCATGATACTGTGCCAAAGATCATCATCGAGATGAAGAAGTGTCTGAAGAAAAAAGGGTAGATTGGAAAAAATCTTGTTACAGAATCACCAAATGCCAGTCAATCTGTGCCAATTTCTCAGGAACCATGACCTTTGAACTTAAACTCAATTGAAAAAAATCTCATAATTATGGTCCAGTATCAATATTTTTGGAGAATTGCCTGGTCTAAGCTACATTAGCTACATTAGGAGCCCTGGTGACACAGTGGTTAAGCTTTCGGCTGCTAACGAAAAAGGTCAACAGTTTGAATCTACCAGCCACTCCTCGGAAACCCTGTGGGGCAGTCCTGCTCTGTCCTGTAGGGTTGCTATGAGTCAGAATGGACTTGAGGGCAATGGGTTGTTTTTTTTTTAAGCTACATTAGGGGCAGCAGTTTACATCTTACCAGTTGTTATCGAGAATACTCTAACTCGTGGCAACCCCCTGTGTGTCAGAGTAGAACTGTGCTCCATAGGGGTTTCAATGGCTGGTGTTTTGAAAGTAGAACACCGGGCCTTTCTTCTGAGGAACCTCTGGGTGGATTCAAAACATTAGCCTTTCAGTTAGCAGCTGAGAGCGTTAACCCATTGTCTTAGTTATCTAGTGCTGCTATAACAGAAATACCACAAGTTGATGGCTTTAACACACAGAAAGTTACTTTCTCACAGTCCAAAATCAGGGTGCCAGCTCTAGGAGAAGGCTTTCTGTCTCTGTCAGCTCTAGGGGAAGGTCATTGTCTTTTCAGCTTCTGTTTCCTGGTTCCTTGGAGATCTCCATGTGGCTTGGCATCAGTCTTTCCCCATCCCTGCTTCATGCTTGTCCTAATCTGCTCTTTTTGTGTGTTATAAGAGATTGACTCAAAACACACCTTACACTATTCCTGCCTCATTAACATAACAAAGAACCCATTCCTAAATGGAATTGTAACCACAGGCATAGAGGTTAGTGTTTACAACACATTTTGGGGGGGATACAATTTAATCCATAATGTTTCACCCTTTGTCCCCCAAAATTTATGTCCTCAACACATGCAAAACACATTCACCCCATCATATCGTCCCCAATGTCTTAAATCAACTCCAAGTCTAAAACCTCATCTTCTGAATCATCTAAATCAAATATGAGTGAGACTTTAGGCATATTCCATCCTGGGGCAAAATTCCTCTTCATCTGTGAACCTGTGAAATCTAAAATACAAATTATCTGTTTCCAAAGTACAATGGCGGAAAAGGTGCAAGGTAGACATTTCCATTACAAATGGGAGAAATTGGAGGGAAAGAAAGGATAACGAGCACTAAGCTAGTCCAAAGCCCAGCAGTACAATTTACATTAGCTCTGAAGGCTTGAAAATAATCCTCTGTTCTTTGGTGCCATCTGGGCAAGGGCCTGCCCTTCAGACTCTGGGTTTTGGCCATGCTCTCTGGATTCTAGGTGAAGGTCCCGTGGCCCTGGGCTTTGGCTCTTCCTTCTAGGCCCACTGGAATAACAACTCTGCTCTGTTTTGGGTGGCCCCACTCTTCTAGTCCATCTGAGTGATGAACCCACCCCTTGGCCCTGGCAGGCCCCATTCTTCTGCCGCTTGGGCATGTCAGTCCCACCCCCTCAGCTTTGGACAATGGCCCCATCACCCTGGCACACATGAATGGCAGCCCCACATGCCAGAACCAAGTTAGTGAAAATCCAACTCTTTACCCTTTGGAACCCAGGAGACAATGGCCCCACTCTTTGAAACTGAGACACCCCTGCTTTGCATGCTCCTTAGAACAGTTCTGCTAATCTCCAAACTTCTCCAGGGATGGTCTTTTTCTTCTCTTAAAGAACAAGAGATGTAGCTCCTATGGCCTGTTTCCTGCCTGCCTGTAGAATTACAAGAGGCAGACAGCTTTCTTTCCTTTTGTCCTGTCCCTTTCTCCTTCACTCTAAGCTGATGGGTTTTCTGGTATGGCAGTTGGTTAGATCCATCAGTCACAGACTTAATCTATTTAACAAAAGATCGAGTCACCAAGTCCTTGGTGAGAGTTTTAGGTCACGTGTCCTTAGTTGATACAACAGAATTTTCCAAATCTTTTTTTTTTTTTTTTAAGTATAAAGAAAGTTTTATTTGGCATATATTCGAAAGGACAAAAGTGGGAAGTGGACAAGCATGCTGCCAGAGCTAGAATGTCTGCTTAAATCCAAAGAATATCACAGAATAGGCAAGAATGGGAAAATGGACAAGCATGCCGCCACAGCCATGTCTGCCCGAGTCCCAAGAACAGTTACAGAGCCATCAGTATGTATCAACATCACAAAATGGGTAGGATCATTGAAAGCATCACTTTTTCACTGATTGGCTAGAAATTGTAATCTTACATTTTGAATCCTCTTTCTTAACAATCATTGGTACGGGCTTCAGTAACGAAAGTCAGGAGGGTCTTCATTGGTCCAACAAATTCCTATTCACTAGATGTTAATAGAAAAAGACAAAAGGTGAGAAGTCCTTTGGGTTAGGTTTTATTGCCCTTTTGTGAAAACTTCCTTAAGATAATTTCTGTCTTATCTCTGGGCCCAGCTGATGTGTCTTTGTGAGTCTGTGAGGGCTCAGCTCCTGCTGGGTCACATCCTGTATGCTCAAGGAGAGGGAGTAATAACTTCAGTATTTCCTAAATCAGTCCCTCCTTTTGATTGGAGATTGCAGATAACACATCGATGATCAACACCTGGACTTAGTCGAGCTCCTAGGTGGCGGCCATGGCAGGCTCTTTAAACTCAGGGTGCTGGTTTTCCACCAGATACCATCTGGTTCTTCACCAGGTTATTAAGTAAGAGCGATGCTCCCATCAATGGCATTGCCGGAGTGAGCAGACTCAATGTACGTCAGCATTTTAGCCCAAGGCTTTCTTTTGCCTTTTAGGTGTGTAAGACAATAGAGGATAAATTTTATTATGCCTAATACTATCAGGATGTAGACTATTACTATTCCTTGTAATACTGATCTAGCCCATGTATTTATTTCTGATGTTAACCAACCAAACAAATCTGGTGTTTGTAAGAGTATGACAATGTGTAACCAAGTAGCTTTTTGTCTAATTCTGTGTATATCTTGTTCAACTTCTCCTGTGTTATTTATCCAAATGCAACAAGAAGTATTTACTACAGCACAGACTCCATCTTCTTGGGCTAATAAAAAGTCCAAGGCTATTTTGTTATCTCATGTCACCTTGGCTTATGAGATCAGAGATCACTGCTGTGCTTCTGTCTCATCTGTTATTTGTCCCATAATGACTGACAAATTTTCTTAAAGATTTCTCCAACTCAGATATACTATAAGTAGGAATTAAAGCTACCAACCATACCCTGAATGTTGGATCAATGGGTTTTCTTTTGACTTTCATTTTACAATTTTAACATTACCTTTTCAGTATTTA